TGTCGGGTCCGTGGGCTTCAGGACCTTTCAGGACACCCAGTGGAGCTGCGTGAAGGCAGTGAGACGGTCAGGACAGAGGGCCGGGCTGGAGAAATGGTCTTTATTTCCTCCCTCCCCCTGCTCCCCGCCTTTCCTGCATCCAGTTTTTATTGAACATGGTACATGTTCTGTTCCAGGCCCTGAGGACTTAGCAGTGAACAGAACCGACAATCACCTTGTGCTTAAGAGCTTACCTTGGGGTGGGGCGGGGAGAGCTGTAATTAAACAAGTAAATAGGTGATAACGTTGTAGGGACTTCTTGGCACGTTATTTAATAGCTGCCCGTGCCTGCAGCAGCCAGCGTGCCCTCGTTTGCTGTTGTGTTTTTCAGGGAGGAATCCACACGAGTGCACAGGGCCAGCGGCAGTATGGGCCTTTGGCATACATCCTTGGTGACACAACCACCAAAAAACTGACAAAATTCAGCAAAGTGATAACCGTCGATGGCAATATATGTTCTGGAAAAAGCAAGGTTGCAAAAATAATAGCAGAGAAACTAGGTATGCACCCATGTCACGCTGGATGACAGCGTTTTCCCCGATGTACATTTGCTTCTGAGTTTGATTTTACTTTAACGTTGACTAGGTAGAATTGGGCTAAGGTAGGTATTTTACCTTTTAAAAATATTTATTGAAAATCTGTTTTTAATCTTTTATATTTGGAAAATTAAAAAAATCCTTGCCCTGCTCGGTTTGATGGGAGTTTCATCTTGGTAGTGGAAGTGGATCCCTTTGACGGGAGCTCTGTCACTTGAGCTTTATAACGGCCTCTGAAATGGGGCATGTTATTGCAGTCACCACACATGGGTAAACTCAGTGCAAAGCTGATGTCACACTGCTGCTTAGAGCGAAGCCGGGTGCCAGCCCCTTTTCCCACTCCCAGTGCGGGTGTTGGTCCACTGTACCTTCCTCCGGTCCTTGACGAGCACTTGCCCCCATGCACATGGGACTCCCGTAGTTGTGGGAGGAGTTCAGACCAAAACACTGGGAACAGGTGCAGGGTACTCACTGCAGTGAAGCCTGTGAGCCGACATGCTTGTCTCACGCATGTTTTAGATGTGTTTTCAGTGTCTTTAGTGCTCCCTTGAACACCCTGTGCACACAGGCATGTGGGTAACTGTCCCCAGGTCTTCCCTGGCCAGCCTCAGTGCTGGTGCTCAGGTGGGCTTGGCTAGTGCTTGCTGCTGGCTGACAGGGCATGAGGCGTCCACCCCTCATTTCACCCAACCCTGTCTCTCCTCAGGCATGAAGCACTTTCCTGAAGCAGGGATACACTATGTGGACAGCACTACGGGGGATGGCAGACCCCTGGACGTAGAGTACAGTGGCAACTGCAGTTTGGAGAAGTTTTATGATGATCCCAAAAGTAACGACGGCAACAGCTACCGCCTGCAGTCCTGGTTGTACGCTAGTCGCCTCCTGCAGTACGCGGACGCCCTGGAACACTTGCTAAGCACAGGTGCAGTATCTGTGCTCAGGGAGCTGGCGGGCATGTTCTGTACTTGAACCCTGCTCTGAACTCAGCCACTTCAGTCACTGCCAGGGAGCTTTTCCTTAAGGGTGTCCGACGAGGCAAGTTCTCTCTTTCCATAGGATCATAAATTCCCCAGTACCCATGCATTTGTTGCTTCAGCATAAATTCACTTCATGTTACTTCACTTTTGTGCACTTTTTTGAGTGAGATTTATGGATTATGTGGAATTTCCATGGTACGTGTTAAAACAATGGAGGAAGGAAAAACCTCAGAGTGACTGGGAGAGTGGAATCGCAGCCTTGGGGATGGGGCACGTGTCAGACAGAGATAAGGTTGCAGAAAGATAGGGCTGTCGCTGAGGCTCAGAGACAGGCTGGAATTCACTGTCACTCCATGGGGTGGATGTTAACCCTGCGGACAATGGCAGGGGTGGGGGAGGGTTGCCCCTGAAAATTACCTGAAGCAGGAGAGGAGTGGGCAAGGGCTGTGTTCTGGGCAGCAAAGTCTGGAGTCGGACGGCAAACACCAGGGATCAGGACACAGGAGATGGAGGGATGCAGGATGAATGGGGCAGGACCACAGGTTGTTCAGAGTGCAGAATGGGGTCAGAATCTAGGCGGGGCTGCTTCAGCCTCCCGGGAACCTGCATGTGGGTGAGACTTGGTCCCCAGAACATCCTGAGACGCAGAGCAGATGCAGGTGCCCAGCCATGGTCACAAGCCCAGGCAGTCCGTATTCTCTCACAGAAGCAGTGCTGGTGTGAGGTGGTGGTTTGTACCAGCCGCTGTGTGTAGCCGTGGTTGCCACACTATCAGTTACCCAGTGAGCTTATTTACAGAGAGCCCAGCTGTCACTTAGAGATCCTGCTTCACAGGGTCAGAGCGGGAGCACAGGGATGTATTTTAACAAGGACCCGAGGTAGCTGGTGGTGCTGGTTCGGAAACCTGCATTTGGGAGCCCCTGCCTCTATGCCCGCTGGTCCCACATCTACAGTTTGTGCCACGAGATGCAGGATGATGCTCTTTACATGGCGTCAGAGGGCCTAGTTATTATCTTGCTTTTCCAACATTTTGTTAGAGATGCTTTTTCTTCTATGAATTAAGCTCTGAATTAGGGCTCTGCCCCCCACTGCAGGGCTGAGTGTAGGGAGGGAGGCCGGGAGCCCCTGGGGACCAGCCCTGTGAGCAGCAAGAGCCTCTTGTGTGCTGTAGTGACAGGAGCCGCAGTGGGGAGGGCAGTGAGCGAGGCTGGGAGTGGATGGGATTAGGTCGCAGAGGTAGCCAGGCCGAGATGGTATTGGTTTTTCCCCTGAAGGAGAGAGGAAGGCATTGGGTGTTTGAGGAGAGGGCTCACAGGATCTGGCTGCAGTTGGGGATACTGCTGTGGGGTGCGTGAGAGCAGCCCAGGGGCAGGTGGGGCAGGAAGTGAGCGGGAGACTGGCCTAGTCAAGGTGAGGAGGCCTGGCGCTGGGAGGGTCCCTGCAGGAGGGGTGCTGAGTAGGCAGATGGGGATGCGGTTGGAAGAAAGCTGGCAGTTTGCCATGAGCGGGTGTCGGCGGAGGGGAGCTGAGGAGGAGCCTGGTCTCGCTGAGGTTGGGGCAGGAGCAGGGTTGTGGTGGTCATGGTGGGCCGGAAACCTTGGTTTAAAACGGAAACACTTTTTTGTTAATCGGATGCTTTTGTTGTAGCTGACACATGAGGCAGGATGTTCTTTGCCTAAACCAGAAATGTATTGTTTGAAAATGGTTTCCTCCTTAGAAGTGCCTCCGTGTTCTCTTGAGAATATTTGGAATTGTAAATGACTGGTTTTCCCTTTCTAAAGTGAAATTAGTTGTTTCCAGTGGTCTTAGTCGTCATGTCTGATTTTCGGCGTCTGTTTCCCTCCTGAACAGGGCAGGGTGTCGTGTTGGAGCGCTCCGTCTACAGCGACTTCGTGTTCCTGGAGGCAATGTACCATCAGGGCTTCATCCGCAGGCAATGTGAGTCCCACCGAGCCTCCTTGCAGGCCAGCTCCTGGGCGGCCCTGCACTCGGCGGTCCTGTAGCTAGTTGCGTCCTGGAACATCCCCCATTACTTACTGATTTTTCTTAGTAGACAACTGGGGCCTCCACCCTCTCCCCCTAAACTTACACCTGCCGTGAAAGCAGATGGTGTCCTGGGGCCGTGAGCACACAGTGTACCCCTAGCTCCCACACAGCCTCCCCAAGAAACTCCGGCTCTGCAATGTCTAGCAGACCCCTGAGCTATTTTCCTTTGGTTGATAGATTTCATTTCCCTGAACTGTGCGCTTTCCTGTGCATTGTTGTATGTAACTAGGTGTTTTTCATCTCACACCTGTGCCTGGTGACCCCCGGCAGTACCATCGCCCTTGCCCTCTCTCCAGCATGGTGCTGCGCTGAGTCTGTAAGGACAGGGGCTGTGTGGGGTGTTGTTCCGAGTCTGACAAGTGGCGCGTGGACAGGAAAAGAGACCTGGGTAAAGGTCACCTGACCAAAAGGGGTGATGGAAGTCCGCCCAATTCCACCTCCCCACTAGTCTCTTTTGTTCCATCTCAGACCTTCTGGCCTTGGACCAGTGGCCTGTCCTGAATTTCCTTGAAAGTCAGAGCTGCTGGGAGTGCTCACCTGAGCGTTTGCTTTAGAGCAGAATAGTTCTTTCTCTGTGCACCTCAGTGTGATTACAAAGTCTGTCCTTTCTGGGGGTTCCCACCATGAGGCAGTCTGCAAACCCTGCTTTCTTGACAGTGTTCTGTATGGACAAGGGGGCGGGGGGTTCTGTTCCTGCCATTTGCAGTGCGCCTTCCAGGTGGGTTTCTTCATAGCAGCAAGTGGGTTCCTCAGCATCGCAGCCCTGATGTGCCTGCTGTCTGGGTGTCTTCTCTGCAGTGACAACCAGAGCGGGTAGCTCTGTGTTGCTGAGTAAATTTACTGAAACACTGAGCCTGGGATATGTAGCTTGATGTTATTTCAGGGGAGTTATTTGAAAAACAAAGCATATCAAGTGTCATTTATCCCTAGAGAGGATCTGTTATTATGATGGAGTAAAACACATACGAGAGGTGTGTGTGACGCATCCCATGCCTGGAAGTAATGGTGGACCCTTCAGTGTATCCAAGATGCGTTTAAAAACCCTACGGCTCTTAAAGGCAGGGTTTAAGTCCCAGCAGGCTCTCTGGGCCCAGTACTCTAGGGCTGTGGGAGTGGGGATAGCAGCGCCGCTTTGCAGGGTTGCTGGGGGTGGCAGGTGTCATGTGCGAGAGCCCCGGGCACCTGCAGAGCCATCATAGGGCAGGTGTGCAGCACACTGGCAGCTGGGACTGGCTCTGAGAAGTGCACGTGCCTTGGCCCTGTGTTTGAAGAGGAGCATGTTTTAGAAACTGTGGACTGTCAGGCAACAGCGCCTCTCTCGTGTGCCAGGTGTGAGCCACTACAACGAGGTGAAGAAGGTGACCATCTGCCAGTTCCTGCCCCCTCACGCGGTTGTCTACATCGACGTGCCCGTCCCAGAGATCCAGGCTCGGATTCAGAAGAAGGGAGATGTAAGTCAGCTTCTTGTCGAGGCCAGTCTCTGCTCCTGCGGTGGGAGGCAGAGACGCCTGCTGAGACTCAGAGCATGGGGCACGCGCGGCCCCGAGAGAGCGGGCACTCACTAGGACTGGAGGGCCCCTGGCAGTCATTGCTCTCCACCAGTGCTCTCCAGTCCCTTGTGCTGTTCACTGTCCCCTAAACAATCCTATAGGACAGGTCTGCTGACGGGGCTCCCCTCAGCCCCGTACCTTTCAGTCTCTAATGGGATTTCATATCTTCTATTTTTCTATGAATTGAAACCTATTTCTAATATCTCCACTGCCACCTGTAATTCAGAGGGTGCCCCTTCCCTCTTCCCCTGCTTCCGAGTCTAGGAACAGTGGAGCTGTCATCTCCATGCATGTCCATTTACTTTCTGTGGCCTTGGTTTGGACCAGGTTGGGTGGCACTGGCTCTGCAGGCGTGACGGACACAGGGAGTAACTGACAAAGACCACCTCACCCCGTGACTGCTTCCTGTTTGGAAATGTCACTCCTACCACTCACGTTTTCTTGGGGGAAGTAGGACCTTCTCTTTGACACTGGAATGAAGACGAGAGTAATCCTAAGTGGTCCCGGGGCCCATTCCTGTCACCCAGAGTCCCTGCAGCACTCAGTGCGAGTTCTGAGGAAATGCTGCCTGCCGATTGTGCCCACGGTTCACATGTGCACAAGGAAAGGCTGAGAAGGCCCAGCGTTCACACCTGTACCCTTCTGTTTAGCCTCACGAGATGAAGATCACCCCTGGCTACCTTCAGGACATCGAGAATGCCTATAAGAAGACCTTTCTTCCTGAGATGAGGTGAGCCAAGGGCTCGCTGTCTATGGGGCTGAGATGAGGGGAGCCAAGGGCTTGCTGTCTGTGGGACTGGAGTCGTTCACACGGCGGTCCTGCCGTTCCTCGTCCAGGGACCTCTGTGTACAGGATGTTGTTTAGGGCTTTAATCTGCTTTGGGTAAGCAAGAGGGACAGCGGACGTTTCATTGATTTGGTGGGTTTTGGTTGGTTGGTTGGTTTTTTGGTTTGCTTGTTTTGTCGATACCTTTTTTGTCTTGTTAAACATTTTTAAAACTTTCTGATGCCAGAAGTAAACTGAGCTCTGTTTCATCATGGGCTTCAGCATGAGAGGACTCACGTACTTTTACCTTATGTGGCAACTGCATGTTCACTCTGACCCAGAGGGTTGCTCGGCGGTGCTCAGGGAACCCGCACAGACGTGCGTGAGGGATAAAACGTCCGTGGACGCTGTCGTGGAACCTTGGTGGTGTTTAGGTTAAAGGAAACCTCCAGACCGTTTTCTTCCTTCTGTCCTCCCTCTTACTGGTTCAGGGACTCGACCTAAGGACCTGTAATTTAAGCGGCTCCCGTAAATCCGTGTAGAGCAAGCGCTGGGCAGATCGACCTCAGCCATGTAGAGGTGGTTCACACAACAAGGTCGGTGGTGAGAAGCAAGTGCAGGAGGCAGTGCCTGTGGGAGGAGGGAGTGTGAGGGGCAGCATGGAAGCCGTGTTACCGCGTGATGTTTAATTACACACACACGTGCCCACAGCTAGTTCTTACAGCAGAAGGGAAGCTGAATGAGACCAGCAGCCTGTTGACCATGGTCTGCAGAGGTGGTGACGTTTGGCACCGTGGTAGCAGGTGTCGTGCGGATTTCAGGTTGAGTACAGCCTCTGAATCCTTGGGGTGTTGACTCTAGGTTTCCATCCCGTCCATAGGAGGCTGCTCTGGTATAGGGACACCTGGATGAGAACACGTCCCTGTGTCTGCTGTGTGGACGGTCCATGGGAAGCATAGTCCACCCTTGACCCTCTGCTGTTCCCTTGCCGGAAGGGGTTTCTGCAGGGACAGGCTCTAGCGGATGGCTGCCCTGGCCTCTGGCCAGGTGTGGCCTCGGGTCTCTGTCTGGTTGGTCTGGAGCTGGTGGCAAGGCGGCCTCCTTTGTTGGTAAGGTGCAGACTTACCATCTGCTGGCTTCCGTCGTCTGGCTGGGTGAGCAGGTCTCTGATGGCAATGTGGCTGGTGAGGAAGTGGGCATAAGTGGGGAGATGGCCCTCTGCTGTCCCTTCTCCCTGGGCCCAGCTGTGGTTTTTCAGTGCCCCTCTCCAAGGGCTAGGGGGAGGGAGTGCTGCTGTCTTGATGCAGAGTTTGATTGAAACACCTTAGTTTGAGGGTTTCATTTGTCTCTGAAACTCTAAACCCAGCAGCTTGAGTGATCTCTGTGTGTGTCCACCACAGCCGCTGGGCTGCTGCTGTGCACCAGTTTTGACGAGGCCCTGGGCACTTTGTACTTTCCTGTAACAGGTGCGGCCGCTGGAGATGGTCTGCATAGCGGTGGAGGTGACCCTTCTGTAGACACAGGTGGCGCTGGTTTCTCACACCTGTGGGGCGGGGCAGCGGGGAAGCTGGGGCAGACCTGCTGTTGTCACCATCCAGTCACCTGTGCATTCCTGGTGGTACCTTGTCCTCCTGACCATCAGGCCGTGGGAGCTGGTACAGGCCCAGGTCAGGAGCGTGGCGTGCTCCTGTCTGTGGTGGGCGATGTTGGGGTGAGGCGCTCGGTTGTACAGGAACATTGTACAGGAACATTTACACTGGCCTTCTTTCTTACAGTGAGAAATGTGAAGTTCTACAGTACAGTGCAAGGGAAGCCCAGGATGCAGAGAAGGTAAGAAAGGGACAGAAAGCTTGTGGTTATTAAATTGATTCACATACAAGTTTCCTGCAAAATCAGATGATCGGTTCAGTTCCCAGTGGCCTGGGAAACAGCTGTGTTTATAGTCTAAGAGAAGTTCCCGCCCACCACACTCCGGTCACGAGGTCCTGACTTTCCCGTGAATAACTCCATCTCTGATCTTAAAAGGTGGTGAACACAGAGAACTGCAGGCTACCAGCTCCAGGATCTGAGACTGGTGGTGACACTGAAAGTTGACTTAGTTAACTAGGAAAGTTTAGCATGTCAAGGTACCAGCTTTCCCTAAATTAGCAGGTGCACTCTGTAACAATCAAGTGAATCTCAGTGTAATTAATAAGTGATAGCCAAAAAAATTAGGAAGAGGGTAGTGCAGGGATATTTGCCCTCCCAGATACAAAAGCACTGTACAGATTGTGGCAGTGAAAGCACTGTGGTGGTAATACTAGAACTAATGGATAGACCTGGGCCAGAACAGAGTCCAGAAACGGGCATGTACGTGCTCACCTGTGTGTGTGCTCACGTGTGTGTGCACGTGTGTGAGACTTGGTTTGGTAAAGACAGTATTTTAAAGGATAGTGAAAAAGTAGAGGAAAATGGGTTATTTCTTGAAAGGTATTGTGTCAGGTCCGGCTGGTATGTGGCTCAGTGGTTGAGTGTCAACCTAGGATCCAGGAGGTCACAGGTTCAATTCCTGGTCAGGGCACAGGCCCGGGTTGCAGGCTCTGTCCCCAGTAGGGGGCGTGCAGGAGGCAGCTGATCAATGACTCTCATCATTGATGTTTCTCTCTCTGAATCAATAAATATATATATATATATTTTTTAAAGGAAAGGTATTGAGGCAGCTGACCATGCATTTGGTTAAAAAAAACAAAAGTTCCATCCCATATCTTATGTAATAAGCATAAATTACTTAAAAAAAAAAAAGCGTATAAGAATCTTAGAGGAAAAGCCAGCTCTTGTGCCCTGGGGCTGAGGTGGTGACATCACAGAAGCACCACCGAGCTGCTGCTTCCCTAAGGACCCCCCTCGAGCCCCGATGCTCCGGAGGGGAGGGCAGGGCAGGGCTTGGCCTGTGTCGGGTGGCTTGAGGGCTCCTTGTAGGTTGGGTCCTTCCGCTCATCCCTGATTGAGCCGCATTTCATCCCTCCCAGCTGTCTGTAGGGCTGGCTTGTTTTGGGCAGTTGTGAAACCTTTGGCAGAATAATTTGATGGCGCATGTCTGAGGGGAAGATGCTTGTTGGCTCTGAGACGCCGTTAGTTGAGTTCGTAATTCAGTCTATTCAAATTACTGAAACGTAGCCGAGTTCTCCGAGTCGGGCGTGTTTGAGGAGGGAGTGCACCCTCGGGGGCCAGGCTGTCCCGCGCAGGCTGTGGGTGGAGAATGCAGGTCACGGGCCTCTGAGGAGATGCGTTTACCTTCCTGCGCTGCTGCTGCTCCTGAGTGAGGTTGCTGGGAGACGATGAATGGTCCGTGTCTGTCGAATGCTGCCTTCCTCCCTCGTTGGACCCTGTTTCTTCCCTGCCCCCTTTCTCCCAGGCTGCCAGCTAGTGTCCCCACTGCCCCAGTGTCTGCTGGGCTAGGGGCCCCATTGAGGGTCATTGCCCCGTCCCCTGCCTCACGGAGGCCATGCGTTCCAGCTGCCTTTCATTTTCGCTTTTACGTGATGCTTCCTGCCAGGTGTTTGTAGTTTATGGTGCATTGAAGTGTCGCATCGTTTAAAATGGGACTTCCCATTTTAAATGGGATTTCCTTCTTCCAGGTGGTGGAGGACATCGAGTACCTCAAGTTCGACAAGGGGCCGTGGCTGGACCAGAGTGACCGCACATTCCACCACCTGCGGATGCTGTGAGTGCAGACGTTGGAGCGGCCGGGATGGGGAGGGCTGGTGTTTGAGTTCTGTACATTGCCTGCTGCAGACACTTACAGATTTGAGAAATAAAAATCTTTCAAGTTAGGTGTTAACAGGCCAACCTGCACTGAGCGGAATTCCTCTTCCCTCCCAAGCAGGCTCTGGTTGGATAGTGAATCGATTATAAACTCAGCAGCTACTCCACCTTCACCACGTGCCAGGCAGTTTCAGATGGAGGGGATTTGGTTTTAAGTAAAACTCCTGGTCCCATCGAAGATATGTTTTGTGGGGGAGATAGAGAACCCCGACCTGTGGAACTGTGTCGGTGCTCAGGTCTGTGAGGGAAGGCGCCCTGGTGACGGGGCAGCAAGTGACCTGATGTTCCCGCTGAGCTGAGAGGATGGGTCCTGCTCTTGTTGGGTGAGTTCTGTAAACATGAGGAGGGCCAGCCGATGGCCGTGTGTTCAGGTCCCTGCCTCCTGTCCCATGGGCCAGTCAGGTCCTGAGGGAGGAGCGTTCAGGACGCAGCCGACCCGGTGGCTTGTCTGCTTCCCTTCTGAGTTGTGCTCGTCTTTGCCTCACGCGCTTCGGTGCCATGTGGTTAGGTACCTGGGTGTCGGGCGGTTGTGCGTCTTGGAGAACCGCTCATGTGGTTACGTTAGGCCCTTTATCCTGGGCAGTTCTCTAGTTCTGACGTCTGCTTTGCCTGACGTTGACACCTGTCCAGCTTTGGTTCGTGCAGGTGTGGTCTGTCCCCCCCACTCACCTTCCACCCGTCTGTGTGCATGTGGGTTTCTCGCAGACGACGCGTAGACAGCGTGGGGCAGGGTGGCGGCTTCCAGGCTGTCCACTCTCAGAGCTGAAACGGAAGATCCCCTTCATTCCCTGAAATTCTGGTTAACTTCTTTCCTGTCTAGATGTCATGTTAATTTTCCTGCTGGATATGCTTATGAACGTACAGAGTGATGCCGCAGACGGCGTCATCCTGAGCCTCGCATTAGAGGTCTGCGTCCTTTCACTGCTTCATCGTGTTCCAGCTCCAGGCCTGACATCTCGAGGTCTCAGCCTTAACCAGTTGCTGTCGTGTCAACGCTGCATCTGGAGGGTGTTTCAGAAAATCTCTCGATCCCACACACTCCCGCCTGGTGGGGCCCTTTTCACAGGGCTCAGAGCTCCGGCTGCCATGGTCACAGGACGGTGGAGATGCAGTGTCTGGCTCTCGGCGCCTCCCTGTGGTCATCTGCATGACAGCCTCATCCTCCTCCTCTCGTCAGCTCAGACTTAAATCCTGGTGGGGTGTCCCCTCCTTGTACAGCTGTCACCTGCCTGCACCCTGCTTTCCCTACTGGTCCCTGACCTTTCCCAAGGTCTCACCTCCAGGCTCTAGGCTTGTCTCCAGCACTTGCTTCCCTGTATAATCCCGTCGTGTTACTTCCGCTGCTGCTGGGATTTGATCCCACCCTCGATCTGCAGTCCTCCGGTCAGTTCCTTCATCCCACTGTCCCCGTGCACACGCCCAGCAGGTCAGTTTCCATCAGAATGTGACAGCACTGTGTTCTCTGCACGTGGGGTCCTGCGGTGGCAGCTCTGTGTTTAGTCGAGTCCCTGTCTCACCTCCTAGGATTAATTCCCAGCTCTGACCCTCTGGCCCCCCTCTTCCGCCAGGGTGCCCACAAGTCTCCCTCCCCTACTCTCTCCCCCACCTGCCCTGTCGGTAATTGTGTGAAAATCCGAGGCTCTTCTACACCTGGCTGTGGTCACCTTTGCTTTTCCTGGAAGCCTCCTCTTAACTTCTTCAGGCTGTCATAGGTGGGTTTATATGTGATTCTTGTTGGTGTCAGCTCCTGCTGGGCAGAAACTGAGACATCACATAGGAAACCACTCTCCTGACGTCCTGCCGAGACTGGGCCACGCGGGTCTGATTGACTCGGTCCATTGGTAACACAGGGTCGTTCTCTAGACCACGCCCAGAGTCTCTGTGTTAGGGTCATATGTTAGTGTGTGTTTAGTTGTGTGGGTGTCAGAGCACAGAGAAGGATCCTGTAATCCCTGCAAAGCTCACAACACAACATCCAGTTACCGTCTTGGCCCCTTTACTGTAAATGCTCCTGTCCTGTCCTCTCAGGTCATGCTCCTCTGTTCCCCAAAGGTATTTCGTAGCAGTGTAGTCATAATGGTGTTTTCATTCCAGCATCATTTCTTTTTTTTAAAATATTTTTATTGATTTCAGAGAGGAAGAGGGAAAGAGAGAGAAACATTAATGATGAGAGAGTCGTCATTGATCGGCTGCCTCTGGCACACTCCCTCCTGGGGGTCGAGCCTGCAGCCCGGGCGTGTGCCCTGACCAGGAATCGAACCCCGATCTCCTGGATCCTAGGTTGACACTCAACTTCTAGGCCACACCTGGCCAGGCCCAGCATCATTTCTTAATTGGCCTCAAGTGAAAATTATGACGAATTTTCTAAGATAATCACTGTAAACCCACCATTTACTAGTTATACTCAGTTTTCCCAGGACTTGACTAAATTGCTAGATTAGATGGTGGTTGCCCCGGTTGCGTGCCGGTGTGTAAGTGTGTGTGTGTGCGTGCTTGTGCCAGGCGCTGTCTCTCAGCCTCGAGAGCACCGTGTGCTGGTGGCCGTGACCCGTAACTCACTGGTGCCCACGCCATTGGCCTCGCTTCTGCACTGGCTGGTTAGCAGCTGGGCCTCTGTCTTCCCCACCTCCCTGCCTCCCCGCTCCCCCTCCTCGCCTCCCCAAGAGCTCTATGCTCTGACTGCTGGAGGGCGTCTTTCTGATCTGCAGCCTGAGTGCCGCAGGACTGAAGGGTGAGTGTGAGGTCAGAAGCACAGGCCCCAAACAGAGCCCTACACCTCGGGAAAGACGGAAAAAGTCTAGGAGAAAGTTAGACATTCACATTGTTAATTGAGGAACACTCTGAGTCATAAAACAATCTATTTTTTCCCCTTTTCCTGCCTTGCATTTTTGTTTTAAATATGTGGCCCAGCCCCTCACAGTGTCACCAGGCTCGAGTGCACTTGACCTCCCGTGGGCCCGTGGCCCCGTGGCCCGTGATGTGAGAGGCTGCCTCTCCCGCCCGTGCCCAAGTTCTCGTCATCAGGGGGTGCTTCGAGCAGAATACTTCCACTGCTTTTACCTCCTGAGTCATAAGGGGCTCCCCGTTGCCCTCCCTGCCTCGTCTTGGTCTAGAGCTCTGGTTTGTAAGGAGACTAGGGCCTGGCTTTGCTGCGGTCGGCACACAGGCTCTTCTGAAGTCCCCACTCAGGCTCGGGGAGACTGGAGGAGAGTGCGGCCAGTTCGAAGGCCTGAGCAGGCCCAGGTACTGCTTCACCTTCAAAAACAGCTGGCGCCTGTTGGTCAGGTCCTTCCTTTCTGTGTAAGTGCGGTTCCGACTGCGTGGGCCTAGGGGGCGCTGTTGCTGCGTGCCTGCCACCCGAGTCCGGCCACGCCAGCAAGTTCCTTCAGACTTTCCAGATGTTTTTTGTAGGCTTTTCAAGCTATAGAGAAAACCAGCTCGTGTCCTCCGTGATACTTGTTAACATTTAAACCCACGAACATTTTTAGTTGAAATTGTTTATTGTGAGATCATTTTTAAAACGTTTCGTTATATAAGAGAATAATTCTATTTGTGTTAAAAATAAAAGTTGTGTATGTATACGTTATTGATGCATGCTTATGAAAGATACTCTATAACTAGTTACTGTTAGAACCGAGAAACTCTGGTCTGAGCGTGTGTACTTGGCTACGTGCATGGTCAGTGGTGTCCACATCGGGACCCTGGGGGAGCAGTCAGTGTTCGGCATTACTGTGGTATCTGGTTGGTGGGTTATTAGTCATTGGCATGGCTTTTCCTGGTGACACCTGGGTGTGCCTTTACCTGACACGGGTCTGGCCCAGTGGCCCTCCATGGCCCTCTATGGGAGAGGGCCCGGGGCCCGCCGGCCCTGGTTCCATATTAGGCTGTTCGGACCAACCGCAGTGGGCTGCTGGGGTGCAGGGACAGGCTTGGGTTTGCCGGGTGGGTCTGGACTCGCTCTTACCAAGTGGCTGAGTGCCAGAGACATTTAAGAACTTCCATTTGGGCCATTACAGCAGAAAGATCTGCCATTATAACTCCTTAATGGGAAAGTGGCCACTTAAAATAATTATTTTCTTTGTTTTGAGCCCTTAAGAAAGGAGACTTTATTTTAATGTTTCTTTCTAAAAGCCCCAAAAATGCTTTTCATCTTCAAGTATAGTGGTTATATTCAGACTAAATTTAATTTAAGCAAATTACAGAAGTATAAATATTTTAGCATCCAGCAAAACAGAATGGGGAAACAAGGAGCGGACCCTGTGGTTGATTCATCAGTGCCGAGGAGGGCGGAGAGCTAGGCCTGATGTGAGTGAAGGCACAGCAGCCCGTCCTGTGTGGCGTTCACCCCAGCCCACCCTGCGTCTGGGGCCCTTGGTCAGCCTTGCTGCTGGACGCCGCAGGCGGCGCCGGCTTCTGGGTGAGCGCGGGCACAATGCTGTGCCTGAACCTGGCGGACCCGCCTGGCTCAAGGCTCCTCCCCTCAAGTCTCGTTCATTTTGCAGATTTTTAGTGAGGACACTGTGCGTGGCGTTGAAATACATGGTGTTTGTTTTTAGCTTCTTGTTCCTGCTGTGCCTGTTTAAAGCACACTGCGGTTCCTGTTTATGTCCCAAACTACCCATTCCACACTGTACCCATTCCCGAAGGTGGTCATGGGGCCGCTGAGGCTTTGAAAGACTCCACTCAGGCTGAGGGTCATTCCACGAGCAGCTCCATGCAGACTGGACGGATGGTCTGTGGGGTGAAAACTGCTTCGAGGTGACTGCTTGGGATGAGTGGCCTTTGTTCGTGAATGTCTGAGTTTTTAATACTGACGTGTACAAATGTCAGCCTTATGGCTTATGGTTGTTGATGTTTTGTGTGACCCATGTTTGTCTCATTCCCTAGGGTCCAAGACAAGCTGCAGGTGATGAATTACACAACCATCCCCATCTACCTCCCAGAAATCACGATCGGAGCGCACCAGAGCGACCGGGTCTTCCGCAAATTCTTAGAGGTGAGGCCTTCGGAGCCAGAGGGCCGACCCCGCTGGTGGCTCTCAGACCACCGGGGACAATGTCGTTTCTCTGGGAAATGGTCTGGCTGTTCTGACTTGTTTTACGAAGAACTTTCTTCCTGTTGAAGTGGGGAGACTCCTCATCTGCCTCCACCTTGGTCTGTAAAGCGGGCGTGGCTGCGAGGACGCGGCGCAGGGAGATGCTCTGGGAGCGTGTGCAGGTGGCTCCTCATCAGCATGTTGTGTCCGTGCAAACCCGTCCGGGTCCTTAGCCTTTATCCTGACTGTCGGCTTTGGCTGGTGGTGTTGCCTCCTGTTTGTGGCACACCCATCCGTAAGTGGTGGGCGTCTCTGCAGGAGGCCCCAGGCGGGTGCCCAGCTGGGCAGCAGCGAGGGCAGAGCCCGGGAGGGGTGGCTGCTGCATTGGTCTCTTATCCGACTTCCGTCCCTTTTCAGTGAGTTACTGGTTTTCACAGTGGTTGGGGAGTCGTTTCAGGCAGCAGTCGGTGAACAGAGAGAGCCTGCCTGTGCTGGTGGGGAACCAGCAGGTCGGTGGGAGGCTGCTCTGGGATCCTGAGGTCAGTGGAAGAGTGAGAACGTGGCCCTGTGTCCAGCTGTGGTTGGTTGGTTAGTGGCAAACCTGTTAAGTGGTTGTATTAGGCTCCGCTAAGCCGTCAGCATTTAGGTGAGATGAAGGTTAAACATGTTTTCACGACTATAATTCTCTTACTTGAGGTTTGGAATTGCTTGACGTGCAGTTGGGTGTCCAGGTGTGTCCCACGCTTCCTTTCGTGAGGTACTTGGCATTTTCTCTTAAGTAAGTTCTTGTGGTGGTTTTAAAAGTGGGTTTGTTCCGTGTAGACACTTTGGGGAGCTTGGAGTGACCTGCAGTGGGTATGTCTGCGTGTTTTGTCCCGGCCTTGGGGTGAGTGGGCAGAGTCGGCGTCTGTCTGCGCGGCGCTGTGCGGGCCTGTGGCCTGGTCGTGGCGGGGCCGAGCTGCGCCGTGTCTGCCCCTCGCACGCAGCCAGGAGACCCGCTCGGCGGTGGTCCCGCTCTGCACTGACGGCTCGCCGGGTCCTGTGGAGTCCAGCGCACAGGTGGCTTTGTTTTCCTCTGTTGTCACCGCAGCTTCGGGCAGCCTGCACGCGCTCGCTCCAGCTGGTCCCGCAGCTTCCTGCCTGTCCTCTGAGCCCAGCCCGTCCCTGCAACCCTTTGCCTGTAACCTGCGGAAGCAGCTGATGCCCGCAGCCCCCCGGCTCCCCGAGGCAGACCGAGCTCGGACCCTGCAGTGTGCTGACCCGGCTCCTGCCCCTCCTGCCGTCGTCACCGCCCGAGGGCACCTGTGTCCTCAGTGCCATCAGTCAGTCCAGGCCATGGCTGGGGCTCAATGTGCTCACGGAGAGAGGATTTAACACAAGTAAATTACAAGTGAGAAAGCTTTGCCCTTTAAATTAAAACGGAATTCTGGTTACATCCAAGGGCTGGTTCGCGGACAGTGTGTCTTTCACACCCGGCTCCCTCCGGGTGCTCTCGCTTCTGCACAGGGAGACAGCAGCCGCAGGCTCTCGGCTTTGTGGGTGGAGTTGGAAACGTGGCTGCATGTTGACGGTTCCCCCTCATGCTCCGTGTTTACGACGAGGGGTTCTGGCTCCAGTTGCGTTACTGGTGTAAACTGTTCTTTGAAAATAAACTTCTGTGAAAGGTGCCCATTCGCCTGTCCCGAGGTAGGCGGTGGCACACGGCCCGCAGCCCGGGCCTGGGGGGGACCACGGTGACGGGGCAGCACTCTGCTGGGTCGGCTCTCCCACCTTCTTCTGTCCCAGGTCTCCTAACTTCTCCAGGTGAGGGTGGGTCATGGGTTCCCGGCCTGTCTTGATGTCAGATACGCGCCCTCCAAACTCAGCTCACTGGGTTTCGTAGTTGGTGACGTTACGGTTGTGTGATCATCCAAGTCGGAGTACTTCCCAGCTGTAACCGGGTGTCCTTTTTGACCATGTGCTGACTTCAGTTATTCTGGAAAATGTAAAAGCAGCGGGGACCTTTCCAGTTACCTTTCTTTTACTGATTTCTGGCTTAATGCCTCTCTAGTCAGATCACACTCGTTACGATTTCAGTCCCTGGTGTGTGATTGAGACTCTGCATTTGGTCAGTTTTGGCGACGTTCCCTGGTCCTCGGGAGCGTCTCCTTCGCCGCGTTGGGGAGGCCTGTTAGCCACGCTCTTCAGTCTCTCCTCTCCCTCTGAGCAGCGTGGGGAGACGTGCCCTCCCACTCTGCCCAGTCCTGCTCTGTGGGCATCTGGGGCTGTGTCACTGGAGGGCACCGACCTGGAACTGCCGTAGGCTCTCAGGGCATCACCTCTCACAGGTTCTGAACTTCTCGCTGACTCTGGCTCTTACCTTGAAGTTTACTTTATTCGATGCTCGGGCAGCACTCACAGCCTCCTTTTGATAGTGTTCGCACGGTGGGGTTTTCCACATCTTTTAATTTCCACCTTCCTGCATCTTTACATTTCCTGTGGGCGCCTCGTAACCTGCAAACAGTTGTGTTTTTAGTTCCTCCCCCTCTGAGAGTTGGGAATGTCTGTGTGGTCGCCTCTGACGCAGTTACAGGTGCACTGTGCTCAGCCCATCTTTCCTTACCTGTTCTGTGTACCTTTTCCTTCCTTGCCTTCTTTAGGGTTAAATTTTTAGTCCTGTTTTCCCCTCTGTTTGCTCACGAGTTGCCATTCTGTTAATAGGTTTCAGGGGCTGACGTGGTGAGTAAAGTAGTCGCCCTTGATTTATTAGAGTCTGAGGCTAGACCTTGCTCCAGGGTCACCGGTCGCCCAGCGACGTTCTCTGGAGCAGAGACCCTCCTGGGCAACGGGCTGCGATTAGTTACCTTCTCTCAGTCTCCGAACCTGATCGGTTCCTCGGGTTTCCCTCAACACTCAAGACCGGGCCACTTTTGAAGCTCACAGGACAGTTGTTTTTTTGGACGTCCCTCCGTCTGCCCTTGGTTGCTGTTTTCTGTGACTGGATGGAGACTGCGTTTATTGTGGGAACGTCGCAGAACGAACTCCTTGCCTCTTGTCAGGAGGCACAGTGTTCCCATCTGGCCTGTCACGGGCTGTATTGACTTTGGTCCCTTGACTGAGACAGTGTCTCCGCTCTTCGTAATTAGTGAGTGTTTGGGGGCATAGTGTGAAGCTACCAGTGTCCATTTCCTCCTCACGCTCTCAGCTTGTCTCCCGCCCGTGATTTCTTGGCGAATTATGAACAGTATGGCTGCCAGGTTACACTTTCTGATTCTGCGACCCCTGCGTTAGTTAGCACTCGGCTGTGAGGACCTGCTTTCTCCCCTCCCTGCTCCTTCGTCTGTTTGTTTATATCACTGGGGAGCCACCTGACCACCCCAGACACGCTGTTCCTGCCCCTCCGTTCACCCAGGACTTCCTGAGCCCTTGAGGCCCGTGGAAGCCAGATGCAGGGGTCGGTCATATGGCCCCACAGGGACGGTACCGGCAGCCCTCCTGGCCCAGCGTCCCCCCATGAGAGTGGACGTGCTTCTCGGAATCGGAGAGCAGAAATGTGTCTTCCCTGATGTCGTCCTGCCACCTCTGGTCTCCCACATTCCCCAACACCCTAGGGAGACACTGCCTGTCTGACCACTGTCACAACCGCGGTCACTGCGCGCTCATGCGGACTCCTCTGCCCATGGCAACACCTGGTGGCTGCCCCTCGGCCCACCTGCCTGTGCCTGGGAGGCCACACTCTGTGGACTGTGTCACTGGGGCCCCTGCCCCCCAACTTCCAGTGGGAGGAGACGTCTGGCCTCCAGCATCATTGCTACCACGACAGCCCCTCCTGCCCTCCTGCAGCGNTCACTGGGGCCCCTGCCCCCCAACTTCCAGTGGGAGGAGACGTCTGGCCTCCAGCATCATTGCTACCACGACAGTCCCCCTGCTGTCCCAGCCAGGACCCTGGACACAGTGACCACTCAGCTGGGGCTTCATCAGTGGGTTTTCAGATGGTGATGGTCAGAGCCTAAGAAGGAACATGCTGGCCCTGGCTGGTGTTGCCCAGTGGCTAGTGCATCTGCCCCAAAGGGTTGCGGGTTCAATTCTCCAGTCAAGGGCATGTACCTGGGTTGCAGGTTCCATCCCTGGCCCTGGTCCGGGCACACATGGGAGACAACTAGTCAATGTCTCCCCCCACACCCACTACCTTAAAAAAACCAATGGGAAAAAAGCCTCAGGTGACGATTAGCGACAAGGGAACATGCCGTCTCCCAGGGGTGTGCATGGGTCACCCCCTCAGTTCTCACCCAGGTGTCCCCTCTGTAGCCTCGTCGCCCTCCTGACATCGTGGGGACTCTGGGTTGGGTCGTTTACAGGCCCCCCACCAGGATGGGAGCTCCTGGGGCAGGGCTGTGCTGGGCCTTGTCCCTCACATCAGGGCTGCGCAGAGGAGAACACAGGGCGGGAGCGGGGAGGGGACACGACTGATACGCTGTAGACCGTGGTGACCGAGCCTGCTTCCTCCCACAGCTGCCCAGCCGCAAGTACTGCCCCGGCTACAACGCGGACGTGGGTGACAAGTGGATCTGGCTGAAGTGACGACCGCCACCCTCCACGAGAGCTGAGTTGCAGTGAGGAGGAAGCTCCAGTCTGCCGGCTCCTGTGGGCTCCACGTAGCTGTAAAATTGGGGGGAGGAAATGATCTGAAAATCACGCTTGGGAGAAACGGCAGAGCCGGCCCTGCAGTGTGGCCAGGAGGCGGGAGCCCTGGAGCCTCCAGCTTCATGTGGAGCGATTCGTAATCACTGCTGGGAAAAGGGAGCCTGTGGGGGGAGACCGGGCGTCACTAGTGGGGTCCGTCTCCCACCTGTGCTCCGTGTCGTTGCTCCTTCAGACTTGGGAAATAAAGCAGCCTCTGCCTCTGCTCCGCACGCGTGCGTGTCACACAAGTGTCCACGCTCGTCACCACCCCGCCCACGCTGGCTGTGCTGTGGTTTCCTTTATTCAGACACATGCTAAGATTAAGCCGTTTGCTCTGCTTGTTCTACAATCAATCAGAAAAGTGAAGACGTAAAGGGAGGGAACCAAACACGGGAGAGGTGAGCGTAGGCTACAGAGCAGCGTGCGGGGCCCCGGTGGCGAGCAGTGTCCCTGGGCTCCAGACTCCTCCGTCGAGGGAGCTCGTGCTCACGTGTCGGTGGGATGAGGCACAGAGCAGAACAACCCGTCATTCCCTGGGAATCATCGTGTCCGTCAGGGGAGAGAACCACCCTCCCCCACCTCCGCTGAACTTAGAAAACCAGGAAGCCGCCCGCGCTCCGGGCAGAGCGCAGCGCCGTGCCCAGGGGGGTTGGGAGTGTGAGTTCTGTTAAAGGGGGTGCGCTGCGAGCTCCACCGAGTGCAAGGCAGGAGCCCCTCGTAGCTGCTGGCCACGTGCGACCATCAAATTCAGTGAACTAAGATTTAAGGCAACTTGAAACTCAGAACCTCGGCTGCACTGGCCGCAGTTCAAGTGCTCAGTAGCCACACGGCCGAGGCTCCAGGCGGGACACGCTCATCACCAGAAGGCTCCGTCAGGCGCCCCTGCCATGAAGCCACCTGCCCCCCACCCTCCCT